TTAAAACAACTAAGAGGTTTTTCCAGAATGTTTTAATCGATTAAAACAAGGTTTTTATTAGTTAAAATAACTTAGAAAGTTTTATGAAATCTTTTAGCAGAATTATAATCAATTAAAATGCGTTTCAGTCGATTAAAATAACTAAGTGAACTTTATTCAACGTGTTTTAATCGATTAAAATAGATTGTTATCAGTTAAAATCACTTAGAAAAGTTTATAAGAATATTTTACAGTATTTCAATCGATTGAAAGACGAATCAATCAATTAAAACAATTTAGAAGATTTTTTACAAAGAGTTTTAATTGATATAAATGGTGTCGTATCAGTTAAAACAGATCTGGAAAATAATCAAGAACTTTTTAACAGATTAAAAGAAGTTTTAACAGATTAAAACAAGACTTTTAACAGATTAAAAGATTATTTTAACAGATTAAATAAATCAGCAGTTTTGAAAATCTTCTATATAAACAGAATTGCTTGAACCTTTTAAAAAACATTTTTTTAGCAATCAATCAAGCAATCATAAGTGCTACTTTCAAGAGAGAATCGTGCTAATTTTGTGAAGTTCATAGAAGTTCTTTCTTGAGGCAAAATTGCATTCTTTTGGAGAAGAAACACATATTGTAGAGCTGCATAAATCTGGTTTGAGCGTTCTAAGTTTCTTCTATTCGTTTCTTTACTTTCTTTACTGTATTGTGGGTGCCTGGAATTGTGGGCATTGGTTTCTGTAGCTAGAATTTGGCTGTAGGGTTGGTCAAGAACTGGAACTTGGTTCTTGGTGAAGGTTTAGGTGCAGGAACTGAAATTGTGGTTCTTGTGGTAGATTGAGTGTGAGATTAAAGTTGTAATCTGTAAAACGTTCAATCTAGTGGAACCCAGCTGGAATTTGGCTGGAGACTGGACGTAGCCCTGGGATTGGGTGAACCAGTATAAACCTTGGTTGTATCTTTCTAAACCTTTCTCTCCTTTAATTTTGTCACTGCATTTAGTTTTGATTGCTTGCTGTGTGTAATTGAAGAACTGATCTGAAATCTTAATCTTTGGAATAGATAATCTGTAATTTGCGAAAATCTTTCAAAGATCAATTCACCACCCCGCTTGATCTCAGCCTACATTTCTAACAAATAGGTTTTTAAGTTTCTCAAATAATTAGAAGTTTGTTCAAATTAATCTTTGCATCCAGTCACGAGTAGTTTCAAGTTTTTGTCCATTTGAATTCTTCAATTGTTCCAATTTGTTCTTATTGTATTTTCTGTCCAAATTTAATTTAAACCAAGATTTGATTATGTTTTTGTTAATTCCAAATTGTTTTAGTTGTTTTAGTTTCTAGAAATTTTTACAAACATGTTACACGCACTAGTTTAGGATAATATAGAATCACTACAAGAAAATTGCTTATTTCCGACGGATTTTACCGATGAATTTGTAGTCCTCGGAAAATTAGTTATTACCGATGGAAATTACTGATGGATATAAAGTATTTATGAAATTTGGTCTTACCGACGGATATATCCATCGGTAAATTAATAATTAGTTACCGACAGATATATCTTTCGATAAAATTTGTCTGTAAATTAATAATTAATTAGCGACGGATATATCCATCGGTAAATCCGTCAGTAAATTAACAATTAATTACCGACATATATATCCGTCGGTAAACCCATTGGTAAATTAACAATTACTTACTGACGGATATATCCATTGGTAAAATTATATAATAATTACTTAATTTTAAATATATTCTAATAAATTAATTATTCACCTAATTAAAAATTAAATCTTTTTCTATTTAATAAATTAATTTAATAATAATTAGATTAATTTATAATAATTTTTTAAATTAAATAATTTTAAAAAATAAATATTTAATTATATATAAATATATAAATATATCTAAATATATATAAATATATAAATATATAGATATATAAATATATAAAAATATAAAAATATATAAATATATAAATATACAAATATATAAATATACAAATATATAAATATACAAATATATAAATATATAAATATATAAATATATAAATATATATATATATATATGTATAAATATAAAAATATATAAAAATATATAAAAATATATAAAAATATAAAAATATAAAAATATAAATATATTGTATTTATATATTTATTTGGATATACATTTATTTGTATATAAATATAATTTATTGTAAATTATAATAACAAAAATTTAGTAGCTTAGTGGTTGGAGTATCAACCTCCAACTCTAAGGTACTAGATTCGGATCCTGTCGGTGACAATTGTCTTAATCTAAATTATAATTCAAACTTCTAAAAATATAAAGAAAGGGGATTATAATAATAAATACAAAATTTAATAAATAAAAAAAATATTTTCGACAGAAAATCTGTCGGTAAATTTTACTGACAATACAATTACCGACAAATTTTACCCGTCAAGTAATTTCGATTTTTCTTGTAGTGAATTCTAGTTTTTTGTGTTGTTTCGGATTATAGGCCTAATTCTTCTTAATTCTTTATGTTCTAAAACATTTAGAAGCATTCCTAATTCTGTTTAGTACTTAGTTTAATTCTGTTTGCATTTTAGTAGTTGCATATTTTAGGCAATATAAGTCATAACATGTTCATATTCATAGTTAGCAAATGTTTTAGTCTAATTACATTTTTCAATTCGGTTTTCTAGAGTTTTATTGTATTTTTTACATTATTTTAATCATTTTCCAATTCCAATTGTGTGCTTAATCAATTTGGTTTCTAGCTTTGATAAATGATTAGTTTAGTTTTCATTAAATTTACAACATACAAAATTTTCTAGCTAAATCTGTTACAAAATCTATAACTAGTTTTGTTTTTTGAATTCTAGCATGTTTTTTATTCGGTTCTTGATTTGTTTTTAGCATCTTTAGCAGCTTTTACCAATTTGATTTTACCATTTAGTGTTTAGTTCTATTTAAAGTTTTTACCAATTTTTATACAAAGAAATTTGACATTTTTTAATTTACTTGTTTAAAATTCCTTTTAGTTTTTTACTTTTTTTTTCACCTTTATAACTCTAAATCCCCAAAAATTTACTTTTTTTTTTCATTCAAATTACACACCATAAAAAGAATAATTTGCAATTTTACTCTTGGATTAATACTTGGTTTACCTCTTATTACATTTTTGGGGAAATTAAATTTTGAAAATCTATGCGACTAAGGGTTTATAAAAAACACTCAACATCTGAGTGGTTCTTTGATTGACCTCCTCTCGTTCCACTACCTCGCCAATTTTGCTGATCTCCTCCTTCTTCTTCCTCACCTTGGCTATCGAAAACACCTCGTCAAGATTGGTCACCTCGGGACCGACCATCACGTCCTCCTCCTCTTTCTCTATTCTTTTGGGAATAAAGCGTCTTCTCCTCGTTCTAGAGTAGTTTCATACTCGTGTCCTCGTCCTCATTCTTTTTCTTCATTTGGTGTTCATAGGTTTCAAGGGAACCAATCAACTCCTTTATTATCATTTCGAACAAGTTCTTTGTTTATTCCATCGTGCAGACTACATTCTCAAAGTCATTTGTTAATGACCCTAAGAACTTTTCAACAATTTGTTTTGTTGAAAATGTTTCTCTATTCTGAATAAGCTATTTCGTCATGTTTTCAACACGCAAGATGTATTCAGAAACCTTTTCCGACTCTTTAATTTTCATGTTCTTCATCTCACTTCGTAGTGTCTGACGCCGAACATGAATGACTTGGTCATCTTTCTTGTACTCTTTCTCCATCTTAGTCCATGCATCGGATGCCGACTTGATTCCTACAATGTTCTCAAAATTGGAATCTTCTATAGCTCGAAACAATAAAAACAGAGTTGCACCATTCTTCGATCGTTTCTTTTTAAATGTTTTGAGTGTGTTGGCTGACAACCCTTCTTGTTCATGGTCATCCTCTATCACTTTTCAACAATTTTGGGCTGTGAGGAGAACCTTCATCTGGGTATTCCATCTATCATAACTTACATCCTTTGTCAATTGGGCCACAAGAGCAGCAACATTTGTCAGGTTAGCCATTTAACTCAAACACTCAACACTAAAACCTTAGCTCTTTCTGAGAAACCCTCAGCTCTGCCTCTTCTAAAAAATAACCCAAAAACTCAAACTCTCTTGAGGAACAAAGCTCTCCCTGAGAGCTATGATACCATTTTGATAACAAATAATTTCTCAGAAACTTAGACACTTCACTTCTATTGATTCTTTATCATACTGAAAACATAATTACATCTTTGTATTTAAACACTCCTAGAAACTCTCTGTTACACCAAAACATTTACTCTCTAGAAACCAAAGAGTCACACAATAAATGTTCATCATTTCCTAAATGTCAAGCGACTTTCTAGTTCCCAATATTGCTCATCATTTCCTAAACGTCTAATTATTAAGTTTACCTAACAAAACTAGCCCTTATCAGGTGTAAGGACTAATATGACAAATTTATGTTAAGTAATGTATATGGCAACATAACTTTTTGTGTTTTTTTTTTTTTAATTTGTGATATCTAATGTTCTAAATGTCTAACTTAAATTTACATCTAAAGGGATATGTCTAATGCAAATTGATGTCAATTATTTTATTTGATATAAATTTACATTTATTATGCTAATATTGAACCTTAATCTAACATAAAAAAATAATAAATAAAATTAAAATTAAAATTAAGTACATAAAAAACCTATATACTATCACATGTTGTATTGCAATTTGTATAGAATTGATGGGGTTTTTTTTTCCTTAAGAACATGACACACCAGCCATAACAGGAGTTTTTCTTTTTTTCTAGCCAAAATCTTTGAAAAAGAAATATAAATTAATCAAAAATATAATATTCTTCTAGCTTACATTTCAAAAGAACTTGAACCAACTGAAAAATAAAATAAAAAAATTGAACCAAAATACATTGTCTTCAGACCATTTTTCAAAGTGGACAATATTTTTGTAACCACACCATTCTTGACCAACTTTACCATAACTACAGTGGCAGTTTACGATAGACACCATCTGATACTTTTGTTCCTAAGACATATCTCTGTCTGAACACTTCTAATCTTTCAGAGAACAAACTCCAATTTTTCTGTACCAGCAAAATCAAGGGCTCACTTCTCCCTAGAGAAAACAAAAAAAGAGGAACAACTAAGAATTCAACCGCAAAAGCTATCTGATATGTAATGATTACTACTGATTCTGCAGTTTCTTGAGTTTGGTCTAAAAACAGTGTTTCATGTTGGTGCACTAACTTGAGCAAAAGCGTTTGGGACGACCAACATCGCTGATGTTTGGGGAGGACAAAGTAGTAGAATATTGGTCTCGAAGGCGTAGGAAACGAAACATTGCAGCTCCTGCCACAGCTCCACCACTGGGGGCTACCAAGTATATCCATATGTTCTTAAACTTCCATGAGACAATTGCTGGACCTAATGATCTTGCAGGATTCATTGACCCACCTGAGACAGGGCTGCAATAAATAACCAATGACTTTGATATTACAAAACAAGAGTAACAACAACCTTCTCAATGGGAAAGAAAAAAGTAATTATCTCTTTAAAATAGGTTGAACAACAAGCAACAACAAAAGTCTTAACCTACTAATTGAATGGAAGCTAACTACAAGGATCACATGTCTTCTTTTTTTTTTTTCCTCACTTTTCACATAACTATGTACTATTCACTTTTCTCACTAATTTTCTCATTATAGTTCCATTGACCTTTTCTAATCAGTATCATATCAATAAATATCTCTTCATATACAATAATTTCATAGAATGTTAACATCTTAATTTTGTTAAAAGTTAAAACAAACAAAAACTAACTTCACCAAGCCTTTTTGGAAAAACAAAAAGCATGTCCAAGTACCCTGTGATTAGCACAGCAAGCCCAATTGCTATACCAGCAACAAAGCCAGATAAATGGCCCACCTGCACAGTATTCCAAGTTTTAATTAGGTAGTTTCATATTTAAGAAAGTTAGGTATGTAACCTAGTTGCTTAGTCCTTACTGATTGAGATTCAGATGTCAAAGCTGCAATAAGGAACATGATGATGAAAGTTGCAATAAGCTCCACCCAGAAGGCAGAGTTGCACCCATGAAGTGGCATGGTCATGATAGCATCTGATTTTATGCCGTATACAAGGCTACCTATGTATGTTGCCGACATAGAACCTACTGTCTGTGCTATTATGTAAACTGGAACCTGTTCAACAAAATAATGGTACGTAGTCATAAACTAATCAATTATACCAACAGAAATTTTTACAAGGGCTATGCCATGCTATGCTATGCTCTTGTTCTATTATTATTAGCACCTTGAACCATGGAAATTGACCCATTGTAGCAAAGGCTATTGTGACAGCTGGGTTAACGTGCGCACAAGATATTGGCCCTATAGAGAAAATTATCACCACCACTGTTAACCCTGCTGTAGCTGCATACTCCAGAAGGCCCACTGCACCATTTTGGAATTGTGTGCTTGCACTGATTCCACATACACAGAACATCAAAATAAAAGTACCCACCACCTCTGCCATCACCTACATAGCAAAATAACTTGTACTTCTCATTTTACAAAACTTCATACCCTTTGTTTCTAGGCAAAATATTAGGCACAATATTGGGTTTCTGTTTGGATCATCATGTTTAGATTCTTTTACATCTTCAACAGTATTTTCATCTAAAATGTTGATAATGGTAACACTTACCCTTCTCTCATTACTAATGGTCCAAATTGCTACCAAACATTCCATACAATGCATTTCACTCAATGTTCACTATATTAAGCATTGTTTGCTTGCTTTATATGTTTTCTAACTCCAATTAGAAAACTCTTGGCAAAATAATCAAGGGATGATTGCAGTCTATGTATGATTGAATAAGCTTCTCCGAGTAAATATGAATAAAAGAAAAAAAAAGTTTTTATCATGAATTAAAATACAGGTTGATTTTAGCCTAAGCTTAATGCATTTTAATTTAGTTTTTTTTTTTTTTCTATAAGCATTTATGAAGTAGATTATTTAAACACTGCCTAAATATAGTGAGAAAGGTTCTTTAATACTCTTACCATGCGAGCGAAATTCAAGTCAATTTTGATGGACAAGAAGTGGAAAGCAGATTTATTGGCCAAAAGATGTATATGTTTTGATGTTGCAGCTCTATATTCAATCTCCTTATCGTCCACAGATAGGCCACTGCTTGATGCATAATTTGCAGAATCAGGAGATGATTGGTTTTCAAATATATCTGTCATGATCAAACTTGTCTAGAACACAGTTTCGTGGAACAAAAACTACTTTACTAACAGTCTTCAGTGAAACCTAATATATATGTAGAGTAAGTGCAAAGAACATGTTCCCTAGAAAAATTTGAGTTTTAGCATTCCATGGAACTGTCATGATGCAGAAGTGTGGGGTAAGTTTAACTATGGTTGAAACCTTTTGGTGTTCACACATTTTAGCTTTTTAAAAGATTTGCTGAGAAGGGCATCAACACACGATTCGTGTGTTGCTTGCATTGACGTAGTAAGAGCAATTTGTGCTTATTAACTGCACCAACGTAAAGCAAACTATTACTTTTTGCTCATTCTTTAGTACGTAGAATCCAAACTAAAAACTAGCACTCAACCACTTCTTGACTACTCTTTTACCAAGTTTTGTTTCTTATTATTCTACCTCAGTTTCTTCAATTCCCTTTTCTTGAATTCACATTCTTGATGAATTACATGATAGTTTATGTTTAAAAAAGAAAGAATTTTTCATCGAACAAAGGACTATGTTTGGCTGTCGAACTACTTGTTCAATTTGATTGTCTTTTTCTTTGTAAGACGACCACATCATACTAAAAAAATTACATGTTCTTGTTTGAAGTAAGCCAACAGAAATTTGTGGCCATCAGAAATTGCAGAACTAGGCAGAATATATGCCATTTTTTATGCATTGGAATTTTCTAAATGGTAAAAGTAATAATAATAATAATAATATATTGACTCAAGCTAAAATTCCCGAATCCAATCCTTGAAATAAATAATTCTTACTAGATTTTACTTATCTCCTCGTTAATCTAGATTTTTTAAAATTAATTTATTTATCTTTTTTAAATAATTTTTTTCAATAAATTTAATAATAAGATTATTATTTATTTAACATATACATTTCAAGTTAATAATATAAATTAATACATTGTGTTAATAAATTATAATTTAAAACAATCAAATTAAGATAAAACTTAAATAATAATAAATAATAATAAATATATGTAAATAAAGTTAAAACTTATAAAATCTCTATTTTTTTATATAAAAAATAAAATGAATAAAACAAAAATTACATGAAATTTTTTTATTTGATAAAACTTCGTGTTGTTCTTGAGTAATTTTCACACCTCCAACTCAAGTTATGAGGATATGAACAATCAAAGTTCAAGGTCATTAGATGCATCCTTAAAAGATCCCTCCACTTTTCCATCTTTGTCATTCTCTTCCTCATTTTCAACTTCACATGAAAGAAAAAGTTAGTAAAACAAAGGGTTATCAAAATAAAACTAAATAATATTTATATTAAATGAATTATCATCATAAATGTCATGTTTCCAGTTGGAAGTACAAATTATGTGATATGAATCACAATTACACAAGGGATAATTTAGGATCTTTAGGGTTAGAACCTTATAAGAAATTTAGGAATTAGAAAGAAGGTGGAAGGAAAAAATCACTCTTCCCAAGGGAGGCAACACACAAAGGATGTGACAGTCCTTTGATACAACCAAATATTCTTAAATCACTCAAGAACTTAGAAGAATCACTCTCACTAAGATAAAAGAGATAAACTCTAATATTTCTAAAAATAAACTCAACTTGTTATTTCTGATAAAAATGGTTCAGCTTATAAAGAAGCTTTGCCATCAGAGTTAAAAATATTCATTAAAGGAAAATAAATGCTAATAATGATTTATTAACTTAGGAATTGAAAACTACTTAATGATTGATTGTAACTGAAATTGTAGCATCCAAAAGTCAATCAGCTATGCACCCTCTTGGTCTCCCAAAGACTGATAACTAAATTTTCAATTGGACCCTTATTACAACTTGCAATAAAACTAAACTAAAATCCATTAATTGATTAATCCAAAACACAATTTGGTCAACCAACAATACTTGTTGAAGAGCTTCTTTTGTTTCCCTTGCTCTAGCCCTTATTATAGGTCATGTTCACATCATTCTCTCCCTCTTGAAAAGGATTTGTCCTCAAATCGGATTCGTCATCTACATTAAAGAGAGATAAGTCTGAAAAATTAAATGTAGAACAAACATTATTCTCACTTTTTATGGTTAAATAGCTCTGTTTCACTTCAAGTGTTTCACTCTTCTTCTTTTTTTCTCTCTTTTCTTGAAGAAAATTTTCTCTCATTCTCTTTTTATCCTCCTCTGCCATCAATTTGATGTTCAGACCTTTAAATCGGGGCTCTGAATACCAATTGATATGAATCACAAGGGGTGATTTAGGATCTTTAGGGTTAAAACATTGTAAGAAATTTAGGAATTAGAAAGAAGGTGGAAGGAAATAATCACTCTTCCCAAGGGAGGCAACACACAAAGGATGTGACAGTCCTTTGATATAGTCAAGGGTTATTGAATTACTCAAGAATTTAGGAGAATCACTCTCACTAAGATAAAAGAGATAAACTCTAATATTTCTGAATAAAATTTCACTTGTTATTTCTTGATAAGAATAGTTCAGCTGATATAGAAGAGTTTCCATAAGAATTACAAAAGACTCAATAAAAGAAAATAAATACTAATAATAACCCATTAATCTAGGAATTGAAAACTATTTAATGAAAACAAATAAAGGCTAATAATGATTCATTAACCTAGGGATTGAAACTACTTAATGACTGATTGTATCTGAAACTGTGGCAACCAAAAGTCAATCAGCTATGCACCCCTTGGTCTCCCAAAGGCTGATTGATTGGGCCCTTATTACAACTTAAAACAAAATCAAACTAAATCCCATTAATTGATTAATTCAAAACATAATTTGGTCAACCAACAATACTTGTTGAAGAACTTCTTTTGTTTCCCTTGCTCTAGCCCTTATTATAGGTCATGTTCACATCATTATGGCATCCACATTTTCAGGCAAAAGACAATTTTTGTACTTATTAAGAATTCTAAAATCAATACTAAATAGGGATTCATTTGTAGTAATAGGTATACTTAAAGTCCCTAGCCAATAATGAAATATCAGAACAATGTTGGCTAGTATTCTTATATCATTGTAGAATATCCATATGTTTTGTAAAATCAAAATCCAATGTTGGTTCATCCAAATATACATCAAGTTAGTTTCTTCCAATTTTAGGTGTAGCTTGAAGCTTGTGCTTTTTTAACTCCTAGTATGATAAACAAATAGTAATTGAAAATTCATAAAAGATAATTAACTTAGAGTAATTAGCTTACATCAAAGAAACTTGATTTTGAGAATGAAATATCCATGTTTGCACTTCAGAGCATTTGAAATTGAACTTTTGCTACAATATTGGGAGAAAAACATGTCTAATTTTTTCTTTATTTTCTCCAACTTTACTTTATAAGTAAGCAGATCAATTCTTTCCTAACAAAATCTTTATGTTTCCAACTTCGTCCTTATGTCTAAAATTGCACCAAATGCAAGTACAACAATATATTCATCCCAATATTCATCAAATTTCATCCTCATTTTTACAACTTCATCTTCATCTTCTGTACTTTCCATTAAAAGACACTGAATTTTCCAAACTTGTAAAAAATACATATTGGAAGTAGGAAACTTGTAGCTAAAATTAAAGTAGTTATATAATAAAATGACAACAAGAAAACACTAATCTTTTCCATTATTCTTCGAAAGGACAATACTTGTAATCTTCATTTATTAGTTATAAGCTTCCAAAAGTACGTTGGTATTTAAGAGCACTTTGAAGCATCATATAAGCACTATGAAACATTATATAAGTTGAATTTTGCCTTATAGAAACATTTAAACACAACGTACTTGAAATATTAATGTCACCAAAATTTTGAAGGAGTTATTTTAATTTAATCATCCTACTCTTTGAACCCTTAACATATTTGATACTCTCCCTAATTTGATCCAATACAATACCAAGTACCTTCAATAATTCTTGAATAATCAAATTTCAAATGTGTGCACAATAGTGTACGCGAAAGAATTCACCATCACATATTAACCAATTTTGCAAAACAAGTTAAATTTTTAATGTTTTTACAAAACATCATTATTAGAAGCATTATCCAAAATAATAAAAAAATTCTTATTCTCTATTCCCCACTCATGCAAAAATTCATATATCTTCTTAGACAACTCAAAGTATGAGATGGAGGAAAATTGTAAAAGTTAAGAATATTGTTGCTTAACTTCCAATTTAAATCAACATAAAAAAATATGGAACTTCTAACTTAAAGTGTCATATTGAAAATTTTCACAAGACCAAAATTGAAGATATGGGTCAAATGATTTTAGACATGTAAGGGAAGTTGAAGCAAAAAAAAATAAAAAAATCAAATGGTGTCTTGTGAGTTGTGTGCTAATATAATTATCCAACAAGGTTTATATTTTAAATTTGTTGAGTATCCAGAGCTTAGTACTTGGATAAATTATTTGAAATCTGATGCAATGTTAATTTCTAGGAATATTGCTAAGATTGAGAATATTTATGAAAGAAAAGAATATAGTTAAAGAAGAGTTGACTACCATTTGTAGTAAGAGTTGTGTTACAACCATTACACATAACTCTCTCTTTTCCATCCTTACACATGCAAACCTTAGTAAAAAACTTCCAACAATAAGATGTTATAGATTTATCCCTTTTTATGTCAAACTTTTCACTTTCAGATTCATTATTATTTTCAACATGTTGAAACTTAACCTCATTCTCAATTTCATGTTCATTGACAACATCATCAAGACCACACTTAAGTTTACTAATTGAACCATTCATTTCTATTATTGTCCAATCTTGTTTAAAATAAAATAAAAAACTTCATAACTTTTTCTTAGTAAAATATTTCAACCAAAACACAAATAGTGAAAAACATAATAATAAGTGATTCGTGAGAGCGAAAAACACTAAGAGAAAAAAAATGAAACCCTAATAAAGAGTAAGTAATAAAGATAAAAGAGAGAAAAAAAGTATGAGGTATAAATGATATTTACCTTATAGGACGATAAATAAAGGTGAACAAGGAGGAGATGA